GAGCTGTGTTCCCAGCTGTTTGCTGGTGCCACCAGTAGCTGTATAGCTCAGGCCTGTTGGAGCCGCGCTCCCTTCCTTAACATGGGCAGCTGGATAGCAGAGTCCCTTTAGAGAACTGACTCTACACCTATCTTGTGGGTATCTGGGTCACACAGGCCTCTCTGGTGCCCCAGTACCCCTCAGGTTTCATGGGCAGATGGACCACACATTCCCTTTGGAGATCCGGCTCTATGCCTTACTTGTGCATAGCTGGGTCGCACAGGCCTCTCTGGTGCCTGCACTCCCTGCAGTTCCTACGGGCAACTGGATGGCACCGGTCCCTTTCCAGCTCCAGCTTCTCACAGCGCTTATGGGCTGCTGGGTCACACAGGCTTCTATGGAGCCCCAGGGCTCGCCGCTGGTGGCTGGGGAGTGCTGCTGCCCCATGGGGCTCAACTTCTGCTCAGCCTTTGCTGTAGTATTCTGGGGACGCATCTCAGTTGCGGATCTGTGCTTCTGTTGCCTGGGGATGAATGTCCACTCCCAAGCCTCTGTTGCGGGGACATATCTTAACTCTGATGGGGCTGCTACTGTGGGGGATGGCTCCTGGCCATCTCCCACAACTGGCACCTTGGCAGCTCCACTACTGTGCACTGGTCTGTGTTAACACAGGGTGTCCACCTGTCCAATGGTGTCAGGTGCACTGGTGGGCTCAGGTTGCTGAATCCTAGCTGCTCCCACTACTTCATCCCAGGGAATTCCAGGGATCTTCCAAAATGGTGGGACCTTCCTGAAGTGCAGAAAGAAGTGCCCTGAAGAGCCACTTACTATAGTAGCTGGCTGCTCCTGTCCACAGCACAGGAACCTTCTGCTCTGCGTCTCTGCACTGCACAAGTTTGGTCGTCCACCTTCACGTCCACTCACTCTCTCTCACACACACTAATTCACTCTCTCACACACTCACCCTAACCTCCAGTCCTGCCCGCCGCTTTCTTTTACAAGTGATTACTTTTCTAGGAAGATGTTAATTGTTGAACTCTTCTAAAGAAGAAATAGACAAAATAAATAGGCCAATAACATAAAATAAACTTGTCCAAAATGACACCAAGATTGGAGGGATTTTTGGCTGGAATTTATAAGATTTATGAGGAACAGATGATTTCTATATTTTTTGAAATGTTTTAGAACATAGAAAAAGCTGAAAATATCAAGCTCTTTTCAAAACGTTAGTATTACCAACATCAAAACCTACACAAAGGGATACACATGCACACCACACGCACACACACATACAAATTATAGGCTGATTTCCATTGAATACAGGTATCAAAGATCTAAAGTAAAATACGAGCATATAAAATAATATACAAATCAAGCAATTTTAAAGTTATTCAACTTATGTAATAAAGGAAAACTATGTGATCATTTCAATATATGAAAAAATAAGTATTTGATACATTTTAAACATTTTACAAGTTAACAACAGATGGAGGATACAGCAATGTATAACATATATTGCTTAAAGACTAGACAAGTTGAACAATGAACATTATAGAGAGACCAGAAATAGATCCATATAATTGAGAGTTAAAGAGAAAAGTGGAACTACCAAAAAACAAAGAGAGAAAAAGAAAGCTTTTTCAATAAACAGAGCTAGTTAAATTAAATAGCCTATGACTACCTCATGTCATAACATTTCATTTGAGATGTATTGTATATAAATATAAAAACGAAATTCTAACCCCTGGCCAGTTTGGCTCAGCGATTAGAGTGTCGGCCTACGGTCTAGAGAGACCAGGGTTAGGTTCCCGCTATGGGCATGTACCTCGGTTGCAGTTTGTCCCGGACCCTGGTTGGGTCCTATGGGTGGCATCCACTCAATGTGTACATTTCATGTCGATGTTTCCATCTCTCTCTCTCTCCCTCCCGCTCTATCTGAACAAAAAATTTAAAAAAGTCCTCGGGTGAGGATAAAAAAAAAATTCTAAGATTTCAGAAAATAATGTAGGAGTGAGATAGATAGATAGATAGATAGATAGATAGATAGATAGATAGATGATAGATAGATAAAACATTGAAGTAGGCAAACAAAAAATACAGAAAATTAAGCAAGAAGCTTAATCAAAATATATATTTAAAGGCAATGAAAAGGCAAGTCACAAATGGAAAAATACATTTCAATAGATTTTACTAGCTAAAAAGCTAGTCATTCATTCAGAAGTAATGGATTAAAAGCAGGTGAGTAGAGTTCATTTCTTCATTCCCTTTGCATGACAACTGAGTTAGCGTGATTGCAATCATCCTCCTGGTAAACATTCCAATGCAAGTATTAGATTGAATATAAATTAGAGTTTTTTAGGGGCTGTTATGAACTTACTCTGCTATGTTATATTAGAATTGTTTATTGTAATGAAGCCTGAAATTTAGGAATATATAGGATGCAGCTGGCTAAAGAATGGAAATTAATTATACAGCCCATCTAGCTAAGTATCCAGAGAGATATCAGAATTAATAGAACCTCAGATGAAATAGTGATGTTGTGCTAAGATTCCTGACCTCACAGTCAACATTCACACACACCAAAAAATAGAAGAAAGATTTCTAAATCTAATAAAAATTATAAACTAAAACGTCACAATAAACATGACACTGAGCAGAGAAACTAGAAAGTGTGTATTAAACAATCAGTAAGTGATTAAACAATTGTATATCTATACTACAGAACACTATCCAGTCATTAAAGAAAAATGAGGTAGATCTACATGTAATGATGTGAAAGACACATTTATGATAGACTGTTCAAGTGGGGGAAAAAGTCACAGAACAATGAAATATTAAATAACATTTTATTTTCTTTAAAAATGAAAATTACTTTAAAATGTACAACTAAATATGAGCACCCATTTTCCCTTGATCTGAACACCTAGGTGCTTTATCTCTTTTTGCTCTCATTCAGCACAGTATGTGAGGGGACATGGCAGGAGGCAAACTTGTCCTATAGGGGATGGTAAATATCTCATCATCACCAGAACTGAAGAAAAGAGACTTCATTTATTTTTTTTTTTTCCTAAAGCAATAGTTCCTGTTTGAATTGAGCACAGAGGACCTTCTAGGAGAAACAAATAGATAAAAAAGAAGATCATGAGACTTTTGATGTGAAGGGACTTTTAAGGGATGCTGAGGTATCAGAAAAGAGGCAAACACACAAAGCCATGGCCCCTGATGCAAGAACTGGATTAAGAATGGGCAAGTGCTAGGAGGGGGTAGCTGCCAAGGACACAGTTTAAGTGCCCAAGGGCCAGGTTAGATCATGGCCTTCACAACCCTGTAGCCCTATCTCCAGGTGAGTCCCCAGAAACTTGATGGCCCATGAAGCCTGTTCCAGATAAATTTCCAGACTTCAAGCAAGTTACCACCTTGCAGCAAGAGACTTTTCAACCCTCAGCCCAGCTTCAATATATCACCTTGCGGCATCTTCAGGAAATTCGAGGGCTGATGGTGTCTTGGACACTTAGGATGAGTAGGAGTTTCTCTACCAACTATACACCTAGAAGGGCAGGCAGGTTGACACCTGAATTGAGTACATTAAAAGTATCATGACCCATCCTCCTCACCACTGCTGAAAGTTTACAATGTTTTAGAAAAAGCATTTCCTAGAGGATGAGAAAAAGAAACAAACTTCATTGTTGAACAAATACATGACATATTTTATTAATGAAAAGAGAAAAGAGTTCTGGATGGTGGCATGTCAATGAAAGGGGTTAGGATTGTGAGTGATTTGTATTTGCTTCTTGGTGCCTCTCTGTATTTTCCAAATGTTCTGCAATGTCCATGTATTTCTTTTATAATCAGAAAAACATTATTTACAAAGACAAAGTAGAATTCAATTTCCTTTAGCTTAAAAAGAAGAGAAACTCACATCACAATTTAAGGTAGGAATACTTACCCGAAAACATGTGAATGAGTACACCTTAGTAATGTATAGCACAAAAATGTGTTCCCAAGTGGAATTGTCGCAGTCTGGAAAGAGCATAAATTTAGGGCAAGAATTTAAAGAAAATGGAAGTCTACAGAATGGGTGACTGGAATAAGCAATGGATCCCTAGATGGAAAGCAAAAATCAGATTTATTTAGCAGGAGGGGATTTCAGTGGATTTAGAAATAGGTAATTGGGGTGATGTCTTGCTTTTTATTTTGACCAACTCATGATGAAACAGGGAAGAAAACTCTTCAACATCTGCATTTCACTCAAATATACCCTGTAAATTAACAGGCACCTCACTGTTTATCAGAAATACTTCTTTCTAAATATATGCTCCAAAATAATGAGGTCAATATTGAACCTTCAAAATAGCTTTTGGATCCCTGTCTTGTTTGGCTCAGCACTTAGAGTGTTGGCCCACAGACCAATGAGTCTCGGGTTCGATTCTGGTTAAGGGCACATACTTTGGTTGTGGTTCTTCCCCAGCCCTGGTCGGGTCATGCGGGAGGCAATCAGTCTATGTGGCTCTATCACATCGATGTTTCTCTCTGTCTCTCTCTATCTCTCTCCCTTCCACTCTACCTGATGATAAACAGAAAAGTATCCAGGGGTGAGGTATAAATAATAATTTTTAAAAAAGAGCTTTTGGAAAGGCCCTTTGCTCTCTCCCCAGCTTTTCCTCCAACTCTTCACAGAGTTTCAGGTTCTGACTTCAGCTAACCGACTTCCTGGTGTACTGTTCCTGTCTGCCTTCACCCTGCCCAGCCATAGAACCACTGTGAGAACTACAGGGAGCTTTGGGTAGTCTGTCTTTCAAGGGTGAGACAATTTCGGGAGAATCTATCATTGTGGATAAACATGTGGCCCAAATTTTCAGCTCTTCTGCACCTGCTCACAAGATGGCAGTGCTCTGTTTCAGATGACTCCCCTGAGTGACTGAGTGGGAGGGGTTTGAGCTTGAGGTAGCACCCAATGATACTTGTTTTTCTGGTTGGCTGAATAGCCAAACTGCAATTTCCCTTTTGTGCATGCTGAGGCAAGAAGAGAGTGTTGGTTCAAAAGAGGAAAGGAAAAGCTCAGGGCAGTAAATCACGTTTTGGCCAGGAAAACAAACCCTGGAACTGAAGGATGGAGAAGTGGCCACAAGCTTCACTGGCGATCTTATGGCTTCAACTGAGCTGTGAGTAGCACTACTGTAAGGGTCAGAGACAACCAGGAAAACTGAGAATTGATCCTCAGAAAGCTAAGAGAGAAAAACGGAACTCATTTTTGCTCATCTGGGAGCACCTATGGCTTTAATGAAGAATAATTATGATCTCTGAGAAGACTTTTCAAACATCACTCCCTCTGGCTAACTTTTATTTGTTGCTTTTTTCCAAACAGGGGTGTACAGTGATGACAAGGTGATACAGAGCCCCCCATCTCTGGCTGTCCATGAGGGAGACAGTGCAACTCTCAATTGCAGTTACGAAACAACCGGCTTTCAAGGCCTATTTTGGTATAAACAGGAAGAGAAAACTCTCACATTTCTGTTTAGGCTAATTACAGCTGGGATGGACTTAGGAAGAATAAAAGGCACATTAGACAAGAAAGAACGTCTCAGCACCCTGCATATCACAACCACCCAGCCCGGAGACTCAGCCACCTACTTCTGTGCAGTGCAGGCACAGTGCTCTCCAGGCACCTGCAGCCTGTACACAAATGCTACAGCTGAGCATCCTGCCACTGTTAGATGGAGGACTGGCTAAATTGGGCATGCCCTCAGAAATAAGCTGTAAGGAAAAGCAACTATCAACCAAGATCTCGTGCCTCTCTTCACAATTACTGATGCAGTTTACTGCCCCCAGCTCAGACTGAGTCATATCGCTGCATTCACCACCTTTTCTGTGCTTTTCTATGGGAGTCAGTGTAGCTGATGTTTTTAGAGGGGCACTCATAAGATACCAACTCCATTACCACCTCATTATGCTCTGTGGTAGAATGAAAGCCCTTTCACCAGGACCACACCCGCAACTGGTCTGTGCACCACCCACCATGGACTGTGCCTGACAGCATGGATGGATGAAGAGTCTGTTTTATTTTCGGTTTTCTCTTTCCACCTAGAATAGACACATTTGTAGGTAGAGTTCTACCTGCAATTTTTCTTGCTGGACCTACTAGCAAAGAACAAAGGGTGGAACCCTGGCTGGTGTGGCTCAGTTTGTTGGTCCTTGTCCCGTGCAGTGAAAGGTTGCCGGTTCGATTCCTGGTCAGGGCACATGCCTGGGTTGTGTCTCGAAAGGGTGATGGTTCTTTCTCTCTCTCTCTCTCTCTCTCTCTCTCCCTCTCTCTCTCTCTCTCTCTCTCTCCCTCTCCCTCTCCCTCTCCCTCTCCCTCTCCCTCTCCCTTCCTCTCTCTCAAAAAAAAATCAATTTTAAAAAATCTTAAAGAAAAAATAGAACAAAGGGTGGAAAACAGACATTATTATTACTTGATTCAAACAAAACATTTTTTCTCCCACTTGCAGTATTCTTACTCTCTTCCTCTTAGGCTCATTGTCTATGCTAGGTGCTCAGAGCTTGGTGGCAGAATTTTCTCAAGATGTTGAGCATTAATTTAAACATCTAGTATCTTAAGCAGCCTCCCAAAAGAAAGGGGTTAGCTAAACTAAGTCATGCAAAACTAATATAAATTTTACTTAGTTTGTATGGTATATTCTTTCAATGAAATATATAATCATATATGTTGTATATTTCATCATTGAATTTTCTTGTGTGTGTGTGTGTGAATTAAAAATAAATTTATAAGAGTTTATTTGAGCCAAGTTAACAACATATGCAGGGGAGCAAGATCTCAAATGTCCCCCTCATTGAATTTTCAAAATAACTCTATGGATCATTGTTCTTGTTCTCAGTTAACAGATTAGGAAATGCAAACTCAGAAATATTAAGGTTCCCCTGACCCCAGACAAATACTTAATAAAATTTGAAATCAAGTCTATCAAATTCCAAAATCTATGTTTTCTCCATAACATGCCTTGTGTTAAATATCACAGGGAAAAGAAATTTAGCCATAGTATGACCACAATTATATACCAGAAAACTGTACAAAACACTGAAATAACATGTGTTTAACATGTGAACAAAGTAACATGTTCACAATAACATGTGAATAAAATAATGTTCAAATTTTTGCAGCAGTACTAGTTGTCTTTGAAAACTGGGCTTAACACTGTTTATTGTTTTCCTGCTTTACAATATTCTTTATTTTTTAAACTGCTACCAGGAGCCCAATACTGAGTATTATTTTAGAAATAAAAATAATAATAATACATTTAATTTTAAAATACCAAAATCCACTTAGGATGAAACTGCGTTATATAGTTATTATCTGATGTTCACAGTTCAGTGGAATTACAATGAGAACTATATGAGAAATGACACAGCATTAAAACAAGATTTTTTATTGCCACTAGCCTCAAATCACTGCGGACTAATGCTCCCTTAAGTTGGAAAGTGTTAAAGTTACAAAAAGACCTATTTCTCCTGACACTTGATGTTAATGACTACCCTGTAAATGGAGTGTATTTAATACCCTGTCTCTATCAGAGAGTGAGGACAGTAAAAGTAACTTGGGCTCCTGAGTTTGTGAGAAAATGCATTGCAGTTGAGCATGGTTTAGATTTATTTGCCTAGGAAATGAGGAGGTAGTGTGGGAAAAGGGCAGGTAACTATTCAAAGAGGCGGAAAAGAAATAGGGTAAAAAGGAACTGAGTGTACTGCCATTTTTCCGCCTGCACACACCTTTGCTCATTTTTTTCTTCTCTCCTTTTCTATCTACACCAAGAACCTGAAATCAGGAAGTGGAGAGGGGACAAGTCAGCTATCATTTGTATATAAAATAGAAGTGGGAAATCTATGTAAGTCTCCATGTTTCTCTCTCACATCTCTCTCTCTCTCTCTCTCTTCTCTCTCTCTCTCTCCCCCCTCCCCTGTTTCCTTTGTTTGTTCAATTATATTTTATTTTTATTGTTGACATTATTACAGATATCCCCCACCCCTCTGAGTACCTCCACCCAGACCCCACCCTCCCCTCCCTCTGGCCCTCACCACACACTTGTCTGTGTCCATGGGCTATGCATATATATTTTTGGCTAGTCTCGTCACCTTCTTTCATCTCATCTTCCCACCCACCTCCCCTCTGATATCATTCAGTTTGTACTGTGTATCCATGTTTCTGGTTCTATTTTGTGCATCAGTTTATTTTGTTCATTAGATTTCGCCTATAACTGAGATCATAAGGTATTTATCTTTCTCTGACTGGCTTATTTCACTTAGCATAATAACCTTTAGGTCAAGCCCTGGTTGGTTTTGCTCAGTGGTTAGAGCGTTGCCCAGGGACCAAAGAGTCACGGGTTCAATTCCAGTCAAGGGCATGTACCTCGGTTGCAGTTAGGTTCCCGGCCCTGGTCACGGTCCTGCAGGAGGCAGCCAGTCCATCTCTCTCTCTCTCTCTCTCTCTCTCTCTCTCTCTCTCTCTCTCCCTCCCCCTGCCTCCTCTCTCTCTCCTTCTCTGCCTCGCTCCCTCCTTCCCACTCTATCTGAAAATAAGTAGAAAAAAAATATCCTTGAGTGAGGATTAAAAAAAACAAAACACTTCAGGTCCATCCATGCTGTTGAAAAACATAAGAGTTCCTTCCTTTTCACAACTGCTAGTATTCCATTGTGTAAATGTACCACAGCTTATTTATCCACTCATCTACTGATGGGCACTTGGGCTGTTTTTAGATCTTGGCTATTGTAAACAACACTGCTATGAACATAGGGATGCATATAATCTTTCTGGTTGATGTTTCAGGATTCTTAGGATATATTCCCAGAAGTGGAATCGCTGGATCAAATTTTTAATTTTTTGAGGAACCTCCATACTGTTTCCACAATAGTGCACCAGTTTTCACTCCCACCATCAGTGCACTAAGGTTCCCTTTTCTCCACATCCTTGCCAGCACTTGCTCTTTGATGATTTATTGACAGTAGCCATTCTGGCAGGTGTGAGGTGAAAGACAACAGAAAGAAGAAAGAGGAAATATTTATTTTTTCATTTTACGATCTAGGAAGGAAAGACTTAGAAGAGACCAATGACTAATCACTCCACAGGTCACCATCCTTAATGCATTAGATACGTTTCTCGAAAGCTATAGATAAACCAGATTTTTATTTTATTATCCTCCCACCCTTAATTCTCAAGATTCATACAAGACCTAAGTTGAAAATAAAAATTACAGTTCCATCTTGTTATTCACTGTCAAAATCATCCTATCCTCAGGACTGTACAGTCTACATGCCCTCAAATGTTTCCATAGCAAAACCTGTGAGAGTCTTATTCTCCAATGTATTAAATACATAGTGAGACATGAGTGCCTACCTGATGACTTGTTATAAGTTATGCAAAAATATTTAGCATTTATTAAATTCATGTCTATGCTTTCTTCATCACAGCTCCATGTTAAGTTCATGTAATGAGTAAATGAAGTCATATTATTTTATCTGCTTTTCAATCTGTGGAAATATTTCATTATTTTAGATGTTTCTTTCTTACACAGGAGGGAGGGGGTCTTGTAGAGGGTTTCCGCTAAGAGGAAACAATGTGGCATTCACAGCAGCTGAAGCCTGGCCCTTTAAGACTTCCTGCTTTTAGGCTGAATGCCACACCTATTAATGACAAATTGGCACAGGGGTTTTACCTGGATGAGTTCACCATCATTCTTGGCTACAAAAATTCATGAAGATAAGAATGTGTCCTTTTCTCCCTTAGTAGAGGGCTGTGTAAGTAGTCATGAATTGTAACCCATGAATTCCACTGAATTTTTCCGAAGGAGAAAATCCACTAAGAGAAAAACAAGAAACATGAAACTCGAGGTATTGTATCCCAAATGATAAAACAGTTTAAGTATTCAACCAAAGAATTGAGCCATCAACTTTCTAGTGTGAAAAAAAAAAAAAAAACTCCAAATAATAAATATCAGAGCAGAAATAAATGATATAAAGACTAAAAAACAATACAAAAGGTCAATGAAACCAAGAGCTGGTTCTTTAAAAAGATAAACAAGATTGATGAGCCTTTAGCCAGACTCATCAAGAAACAAAGACAGAGGACCCAAGTAAATAAAATCAGAAATGAAATACAATCCTTTGTATTTCTGATACTGCAGAAAAACAAAGGATTCTGAGAACATATTATAAACAATTATATGTCAACAAATTGGACAACCTAGGTGAAATAGACAAATTTCTAGATTTATACAATCTTCCAAAATCTCAACGAGGAAGATTCAGAAAACATGAACAGACCAATAACAACTAATGACAATAACTCAGTAACCAATAAACTCCCAGCATATAACAGCCCAGGTCTAGCTGGCTTCACAGGGGAATTTTACTGAACAGTCAAAGAAGAATTAGCCTGGCTGGTGTGACTCAGTGGTTGAGTGTCAGCCCATGCACCAACAGGTCACTGGTTTAATTCCGGTTCAAAGTACATGCCCAAGTTGTAGGCCCGATCCCCAGTGGGGGGTATGCTGGAGGCGGCCAATCGATGTTTTCCCTCATCAATGTTTCTATATCAATCTCCTTCTCCCTTCTTCTCACTCTGTAAAATTAATTTAAAAAAAAAAACAAAAAAACAAGAAGAACTAACACCTATCCTCCTCAAACTATTCCAGAAAGTTCAAGAGGAAGGAAGACTCTAACGGTCTTTTTTATGAAGCTAACATTATCCTAATTTCAAAACCAGATAAAGACATTACAAAGGAAGAAAATTACAAGACAATATTCCTGATGAACATATATACCAAAATTCTAATAAAATGTGAACAAATCA